AGCAAGTTTAGGTTTGACATCAGGAAGAGGTGTTTCACTCAGAGGGTGGTGGAGCACTGGAACAGGCTCCCCAGGGAGGTGGTCATGGCACCATATTCTGACGATATTCAAGAAGCATTTGGCCAAGGCCCTCAGACACATGGTCTGAATCCTGGGATTGTCCTGTGCTAGGGCAAGAGCTGGACTCGATGATCCTTGTGGGTCCCTTCCAACTCACAACATTCTATGATTCTGTGATTGTGCAATCAGGAGAAGATCGTTGGAACACAGATATTATGTCCATACAAAGATGCCTGAAGAACTTTGCAAGAGTCAGGATAAGCTGCTATGTGCGTTTCCACAGAAGCTGTCCTCACTTCAGTGAGACAATAGTAATCCTGTAGATCAGCTGTCAAGCCTTAGCCTGAGGTTACTGCTTTTGCGTGGGATGTAGAAAAAGAAATTGGTTCTTTCTCTGTCACATAAAACTGTAATTTCTTTTTTAAATGAGCTTTACTTGAAATGTTAGCCAAAAGGAAGTAGGGCATAACATGCAGATCCTCACTGGAGCAGGAATTTGTTTCATTATTTGGGTGTTCAGGACATTGGCACAAAATGCGCTTGGCTCAACAGAGTTTACAAAGGATCTGCCCTGTCAATATGCAGATCTGTCTTAATTTCTGACGAGACTGGAATAAGCTCCCAGTTCCCTACCCGTGAGGGAAATGATAGCCTGAAATTTTCTGGGCCTCATTTAATCTCTGTCTTGGTGTCTTTCAGTGCCAAATTACACTTGGAAGGAAATTTGTTTGGCATTTGCTTAGAAATTCAAATATAATGAAGTAATCAAGTAGCTTGCTTATGTTTGTGAAGACAGTCTGATTATAGTTTCAAAGAGGTTTGAGTGGTAGGGGTTTAATTTGTACAATTCTTGGTCTAAATCATCTTTTAATATGAGGGCTGGGTCTCTTGTAGAAATCTTCAGAAGTCAAACCTGTGGGAAGTGAAATGCTTACTGGTTTACAGATCACAAGGAAACTGGTTAATGTAAGTACATTGTTGGTTGGGATTGTTGGTATTACAGGGCTGTTACTGATGGTCCATCTTAAGCTGTTACAGATTTTTTTACTATTTAGAAGCACACCACTGAAACCTAACGTGTCCTTCCGTTCCACCCTCTGACTGGGTTATTTCTTTAAACTAGCCATCAGACTTCTTCATCCCTTTGTGTTATGCTTTTTGTTATCTTCCCTTTGGTTCTGGTGTGAAGATCACTTAGCTAACTGTGCATGCAGACAGGTACTTGTACTGTCTCTTGTAAGTACTGCTTATTTTATTTTTAACCTGGTTTCTTTCAGAACCAGGCTCATGTGGTGTCACTCCCAGTTAGCCCCTTCCTTTCCTTCCATTCCTCCCTAAATGATTCTGAATGTGAATGGTACCTAACAGAAGAGCATCAGTGAAAATTAAGTAAAAATGAAAATCTGAATTTGGCTACAGAAAATAGAAACAGCTTAGCATGGCCTGAACTCTCCTTTGAGAAGAAGGCAGGGAGAGCTCAGCCCACAGTTCTGCTTGCTGATTAGTGATGCATATGCTGCTGTGCTTGGCCCAACCAGATATGTGTGAGGGGCTGGGGAACGGGTTTCTGAAGTTAAGAAAGGCTTAGGAGTGTTGAAATGGGGTCATAAAAGCTACTGGAGATGTGTGTGGCTCTGATCATGCCTAAGTAAGCCCACAAGTATGTCTGAAAGAGGCAAAGAAGCAAGAGCTGCAGAGGCTTGGAGACATGAAGGGAACTGGAAGTTTTGAAGTGGGGCTGTAAGGAAGAATCAAGTTTATTGCAGAACATTTTTGATCAGAAATTCATATAGCTGCTGTTGTTCATAAATAGTTTGGGGTGTTTTTTTTTGTGGGTTTCAGTTTCTGAATCTGTTTTCAATATCTAAAATCGAGTAGATGGACTGTAATACAATGTGGTGACCATGTATTTATGTGGACATAGAACTGGAGAGGTATGAAAATTTGTTTCAATCAAAGACCTGGCAGGGGAAGCATGCCAAACAAAACTCTTTGCTAATAATACAAGGTCTGCACAATTGAGAAGCCAGTGTGCAAGGATGGGTAGCTGATGTACAGTGTCCATGCATTTTATTTTCCCAAGGCAATTCTGTGTACTGATTTGCTAATACAGGCACAAGTGAAATGTCAGTGATTGCAGTGTAGGTCAACTGGCAGCTTTAGCATTTGTGTGTCCGTGTTTGGCAGAATTTCATAGTGCTCAAAAAAGCCAGAGTTCTCAAATGGTTAAATTGTCTCATCTCTGCTGTGACAATAATGTGTTTTTCTCTTAGGATCCTACTTTCAAACCATGCCAGATGAAGACTCATTTTGTGCTTCCCTTCCCAGTGAACTATATTGGGGAGTGCATCCCTACACAGCTGCAGACTATGCAAGGTGGGAAGCAGAATCAGAAGGGAGCTCCTTTGTGTGTTGTGTAGCAAAAACCAAAAATGGAAAATCTTAGACTGACCATAGGAAATGGAGTGTCAGTAGAAAATGCTTTGCAGTGCATTTGTCATGAAATCTTTACAGAGCAACTTTTGCACAACTAGGTCCAGAACTGCCCTGTTTTGGTAAATGCTGAGATGAAATAATGAGGGGCTGCTATCTCCTAACTTCTGAATAAACAGCCCTGCATGCATGGATGTGTCTGAGTTGACAATCCTATTGCACATAACAAAGTTTAGGAGGCTGCTTTCATATTTCATTACAATAAAATAAATGGAAATATTCAAGGAACACTCAAAGCAGTGCCACTCTTAGATTAATGTCACATTATCCAGCTATTATTGAGTATTGTTACCATCACTATTTACAAGCAGCAGTGCATTGTAAATGGGGATCTTTGTGAACTTCCTCTGGTTGTCCAGTTCATTTAACATCTTTGCTGTTGATACTTCTCTCGTTACAGCCTTCGAATTCTTGCGCGGTTGATGACAGCTAAATTCCTGCATAGAGAAATCAGAGAGAAAGGAGGGGCTTACGGTGGAGGTGCTAAACTTAGTCACAATGGCATATTCACTTTCTACTCCTACAGGTAACAGAAAGTTCATTCTTCCCTGTTTGTGTTTGAAGGGACCACTGACTGCACTTACATCTATCTTGTTCTGACTTAGTTGTAACTCTCTTTCAAGATCAAGTGAAAGGAAAAGAACGTTGAATCACAAGAAAGTGATTCAGTGTTGATGATGATCAGATTAGTTGCTTAAGATGCATCCGTTTTGTTGATAAACCCCTCCTTGCTATCTCTGGTTTCTGTCCTTGGGAAAGCCTAACTGATCTCTGCTGGTAGCAACCAGTGTCGTGTCTCTGTACTTAGATGTTTACTGTCTTTGTACCAGATATATGTAAAAGTGGCTTTCACTTGTGTCTTCCTGGGTTGAGGAGGCCCTAAAAAATTCAAGACTACTCTAAATTTGAGACCAGGAAGTAGGATGATGTTCTTCCCTAATGTCCTGATTTTGAAAATAAGCAGCTTCCTTTAGTGACTGTCTGGTACCATCAGAGATCCAGCAGAAAGCATGCTGGTGATGAGCTAGAATTGCTTCTTTTCTTTCCTTTTTGCCTTCCCCTTCCTGCTATTTTTTCTTTTTTTTGCCAGTCCAGAACAGTTATCTTGCATTAGTCTTACCAAACCACTTTCAGATAAAATTTGAACTGCAGCTATTAAAGACTAGTTATAATCCGCACTAAAACTGTCATGTGGCTAGAGTCCTGGCTTAAGTCATTTTCCTAGAGCCAAGGTAGTCTAGCACAGTACTTGGTTGGGATTCCAGCTAATATTTGAGCAGCTTTGCCTCTCTGTGAAGGTTCAGCATGGTAGGACTTGTCCTGGTTAGTATTTCAGTAGTGGTTAACCTGTTGCACCTGTTTTACAGAGAGCAAAAACAGGTGTAGCAAGAAAAGCAACTCAGAGAAGATATGGCATATCATAAATATCACTGTTGTTGATGTTAATGGCAGTTATGGTTACTAAGCTGTTGCAGCAAATTGACAGTGTACTGTGAACAGTGCTGGTTTACCATCTTTTTTTATACCAGCTCCCTGCATATTGCCTTGGAACTACTTTTAGGCAACTGAACTTGCTGCACTTGTGTATCTCAAATTCAAAATATACATGGTTTATAAACCTCCTTTCTTCTGAAAAAAAAAAAAAAACCCAAACCAACAAACAAAAACCAAAAAACCCCACAAAAACCCCACAAACACCAAAACCCAAACCCTCTTTTTGTAAACAGAAAGGAAGTTAATCATTTGGTTTAATCCCCATGTATGTATGTGTGATGCCTAGTAAACTATGAATAAAATGAGAACAAAGCAAGTACTGTATTTAATTTTGTGAGACTGAAATAATTAATTTAATTTTATCTTTTTTTCTTCTAAGAGACCCAAATTCAGTAGCCACCTTGAAAACATTTGAGAAAGCAGTTGAATGGGCCAAATCTGGAGAATTCACACAACAGGATATCGATGAAGCTAAGCTAGCAGTATTTGCTGCTGTCGATGCACCAATTGCTCCTTCAGATAAAGGTACAGTCTCACCATCCTCCCAGTGCTGCCAATATTTATTTTTTTTTTAAATTAAGTTTGAAGCAAATAGTTAGTTTGATAAAATTTGTACTTGTCAGATGTAAGACCATTGCAGTTTCAATGAAACATTCAGTTCCTGTTGCTCCCTTTCAGCAATACCACATGCATTCAGTCTCTCTGCTGAAGTTTTCACATTCATACTGCTCCTTGATGCCAGGTGAATACAGATAGAATATGGAGGTAGATTAAAGAAACAATTTTAGGCTTGGAAAGGGCATTAACTGCAAGTATATAAAAATAAATATTTGTCTTCTGATTAAAAAAAAGAAAGTTGAAGGATTATTTTCCTGACACAATATACATGTTTACTATCAATGTCTCTGACCTTTCGTGCATACTTTATTTGAAGAAGTTAAAGCATAAACGTCTGTCTGCTGTGGTGTAGCGTGTTTGGAGGGTGTTATCTTCTTTACATATCTGCATACTTATGATGGCTTGGTAGTATCTTCACATCTTTTCAGTTTGCTCACACGTTGCTTTGCTTTCCTCGCTTTTCCCTCCCTCCTCCATTCTCAGCTTAATTTAAATCCAAAGCTTGCTAAGTTAGAATACATTCCTTTCATTACATAAAGGAATTGTAAGGTTAAAATTAGCATTGTTTTAATATGTACTTGTATTAACACTAACTTATTAAGCAAGAAAACTTAAAATGAAGCTGACTTTCAGCTGACAGAACTTGGTTTTGGTCTGGGCAGTTAAAAAATAAGTAAGCAATTTTAGGTGCATGTGTGAGTGAAATGCACGCGCATTGAATGTTGGTATTTGTGAGTAATGATTTACATTCTTTGCTATTTGAACACGTGTGTTAGTGGAGCTGTGGCCAATGTAGTGGAGCACTGAATAGAATAACATTGTTCAACAGGCCTGGAAGCTGTTGCAGAGAGAACTGCCCATCCCTTCTTACTGCTGCTGTTTTCCCCATGGGCCCTACCTAAGCACTGATCAACCTGATCGAACTTTGAAGTCAGCCCTGCTTTGGGCAGGAGGTTGGACTACTTGACAGATGTCCTCCCAAACCACTTTTTTCCCCTACTATGGTTATTTGCATGACAAAAAGCTTTTCTACAATTATTTTGTAGTTCGCTGGTTGTTCACGGATTTAATTTAATTAATATTAATTAAATTAAAATACATTAAAATTAATATTAAAATACTGTAGACAAGTATTCCAACAAAAGCATTCAAGCATTTGTATGCAGATTTGTGTATAAACCCCAAAGGTGATCATACCTTTGTCTGGCATATATATTAAAACTGATAGCAGATTTTAATTTTGTTGTTATAAACCACAATAAAAATAGAAGCTTCATGAATTCTCATTTGGCTAAAACTTTGTTAGAAAGTACTGAGACTCTTCAGAATGAATCATATTAGGGTGTTTTAGGATTTCTGGACCACCATTATGTTTAGATTTTTGACAAACTAAATCACTTGCTAGAATGGAGTATGAATCTTCCTTTTTTTTCCTGAGTGGAAAACTCTTACTACCTTAGAAAATTAATTTACCTGTTTCTAACCTGTGAAATTTGAATTTCAGTTAGATATTGTCTCAGAACAACGGCTTAACAGTAGTCTCTATTCTTCCCTTTCAGCACATGTACCTGTCTTGTTTTGCATTCATTCATGCACTTAGTTGTAACTGAGGTTCCAGTATGCCAATGCAGTACATGGTTTTGTTTTGATTTGGTTTTGTTTCCCCTAGGAATGGATCATTTCTTATATGGGATTTCTGATGAAATGAAGCAGTCACACAGAGAACAACTTTTTGCTGTCAACAGTGATAACCTGGTTGATGTATCTAATAAGTAAGTCGGTTTACTTGAGAAATAGAACAAATGCATAATTTCAAGATGACATTTTTTGAAATTTGTTGTAATAAAGTTCTTTGATTTCTTCCCTTGGCCTTTTGTACTACTTGCACTATTTGCTTTTGCAACCTAGAAAGAGAGATGTTAATCATATCCTGCCGATTGCATTTTAGCAGATGTAAGTCCCTACACATTCTGCGTTTGTGGGAGACTTGTTTTACTATGAAGGGTCCAGAAACTGTCTAGAGAAAGCCAGGAGCAGGATGTCCGATAGTCTATCAGAGCTGGTGCTTCTAGATTCGTAACATTTTGTGCTGCTTTAGACTTACAAAATACACCTTAAACTTAAGAATTCCACTACTGAAGGAGACAAGGTTAAGGAGATAAGCTAGTTCAGGCTATGATTTAGGAGACTTGTATTGTGATGACAGAGGAAAAAACACTGTAAATCCAAAAGATGCTGTAAAAGCAAACAAGGAGTATGTATCAAACAGCACATTTTCCTGAGATGGGAATCTGTTTAACTCGTATAGCAAAGTTACAGATAACTGAATGCAGCAGCTTCTCATTTCTTTTTTTATTGGGTTTTTTTTTCTTGCAGGTATCTTGCAGTTGGGAAGAGCACTCGTGGTCAGGCTGTACTTGGCCCAGAAAATGCAGATATCACCAAAGATCCCTCATGGGTCAAAAGATGAATTGCTGCTGAACATCCAACCTAATACAAAACAAACTGATCTGTGTGACTATATAATTAGTTTTTTGTAGTAACTTTTAACTGTGCTATGGTCCAACTTAAATGTTCATTACTGCTTTTAACAGGTCCAGTGAACTAGTTAAAAGCTGTCCTTGAAATAACTATGTGAAAAAATTTCTAACCGTACAGTATTTGAGAGCACGAATGATTTGCTTTGTTATGATAAAGACAGACCTTAATATTTTACCGAAGACTTACTCCTCCAATTGCATATGAATACTATATAAATTAAATATTTTTGTATATGTAAAACTCTAGAACTTTAAATGGTGTTTGTTTTGAAATAATGTCTGCTGTTGGATATATTAAACTATGTCTCTCATACTGACGCATTTCATTCTTTGGTGTAGTAATTCCAGCATCTTTGCATAAGCCACCAAGAGTTAGAGGAGCTCTGTGATAGTACATTCCACCTGGCATCAAGCCAAGTGTGTAGTGAATGGCAGTGTAGTAGGCAAATCACTAATGAATCAGTGTGCAGTGTATTTTAAGTTCAGCTGGCATGAGGAAAAGTTTTTGGCTGTGTTTGTCAGCCTAAATCAATCTTACCCTTTTTCATCATTATTTTTATTTTTTTAAATAGTCTTGAAGAAGCTAAAAGAAAGGAAATCTGAAACAAGGACCAGATGACACCCTTCTGAATCTCAAGTTGTTATAAAGGTGTTTGTTTATGTTTGTTTTGTTTTTTTTTTTT